TGTCCTAAGTCGTCCATCGGCACTACGGGATCTTAAATCGGATCAATCAATTATTATTCTTACAGCTGACAAGGGGAAAGGCACTGTTATCCTCGATAAAGAAAGTTACTATGAAAAAATGCAGGTAATTCTTGACGACACAGCGCATTTTGTGCCGTTACCCCGGGACCCCCACTCCTAAATCTGAGAGATCCCTTGTTGATCACCTCCGCGATCTAAAAAAGAAGAAACGCCTAGACGATGCCATGTACCGTCGTCTTTTTTCTTCTGACGGGTCTACACCTAAATTGTACGGTCTCCCCAAAATTCACAAGCCCGAGTGCCCGTTGCGTCCTATTGTTTCATTTATTGGGTCTCCGACGTACAATCTGTCAAAATATCTGGTCGAACTCATCACTCCGGTCACAGGTAAAAATGGTTTAACAGTACGGAATTCGTGGGCCTGGTTCGGGATCACGTCCTAGACGAAGACGACATAATGGTTTCATTTGATGTTGTGTCCTTGTTCACGAATGTCCCCACCTCTCGGGCTGTTGAGATAGCCGAAACACGCCTACGTAGGGATGACAGCCTCCCATCACGCACATCGTTAACGGTGGATGATATTGTGATTTTGCTGCGTTTTTGTCTTAAACAATCGCATTTTACGTTTCGCGGACAAATTTATCACCAAATTGAAGGATGTCCAATGGGTAGCCCAATTTCTGTTACAATGGCAAATCTGGTTATGGAGTATGTGGAGGAAACTGTCCTTGAACAGAGTATGCTCCCGATAGGGTTTTACAAACGTTATGTAGACGACACTTTTGTAATTTTCAACAAGGACCATGTTGCTGACTTTCATTTAGCTTTAAACAACGTTGAATCATCAATCCAATTCACACATGAAGTTGAACAGAACGGTGCGCTGCCTTTTTTGGATGTTAATGTGTTCCGAAATAGTAACGGTCGCTTAGATACAACAGTGTACCGCAAAGCTTGCGATACAGGCAACCTCTTAAACTTTAACTCGCACCATTCTGTTGAACATAAAAGGGCTGTCGTAAAAACCTTATTACATCGGTCCGAACGCATTTCTTCTAATCCTCAATTGCGCGCTTCTGAAGATGCTGTTATTGTTGACCTGTTGATGAAGCGGAATTATCCGAAACGTTTTATTGATAACACGCGCAAACAGATGGGGCAAAGAAGACGTCAGGATAATGGACGGCTTAGGACAGGGCAAGTAACAATACCCTATTTGAGAGGTGTTTCTGAGTCTATTCGCAGGGCTCTCGCCCCTCTGAAAATCCGCACTGCTTTCAAACCCCATCGTAAACTACGTGACCTCATTTCTAAACCTAAAGATTACACCCCCCCAGAGTCCCAGTGCGGTGTTGTGTATAAAGTGAATTGTCTAGACTCTAGACTGTGACGCATCCTACATTGGGGAGACAGGCCGGAAGCGCTGCACTCGCTTAAACGAACACAAAAGGGACGTGGCGAAGGCCACGAATGCGACAAGAGCGAAGACGGAACTCGTAGACCATTGTTGGAATACGGGTCACTGTTTCGACTTTGAGAATGCGTTCACTCTGGCGCGCGAACAAAGGTGGGGTCCACGCAGGTTCGTCGAATCATGGTTCATCCGAAGTGACTCATCAGCTTGCAATATCAACCGCGGCCCCCTCCCCGATGTGTACGCGGACTTGCTTAAATAGGACTGTTGACGTTTTTTCCCTCATTCCTGCTTGTAGGTTTCACTGACGATGTTTCCTGCATGGGAGACGAAACGTTTGATTAAATTGTTAATCTTGTTGAGTAAAGTCGGAGCAGTTTTTTTGATCATTATGATTCCCGGCTTTTGGAATATTTTTGCACAAATTGTTTGCTCGACCAGAAATATAAGCGTTTTATATTGAAATATTTCTGCCTAGCCAGCAAGAAAGAACAAACGCTGTTTCATGTTTAGGAGGAACTACGTGTTTTGTTGCAATGCAGTAGAGGGGCAGCAGTGATTACAGTGAATTTGCTTCGCAACCCCCACAGCCAGCAGAGCTGCTCCAACTCGAGGAGAGTCTGGGGGCGCCTCCAGAAGAGCCTCTTCAGCCGGCCAGCGAGCCAGCTGCTTCAGGAGGTGGACCGCCGGCTGTCGATTGTGGTGAATAGAGACTCACTCCCGTGTTCACAAGAAACATACGAGTTCAGTAATTCTTGCATGCATCGAGAAAAGCTATCAATTGCTTTTACATCTCACTCCAATCAAATGGCATGCCACTTGAGTGACAGCACCATTATCATGGCCGTGCAGGTGGTCACTAGTGGTCCATGATCACAGCTTTGATATACTACTGCTCTCAAATGAAATAATTTATTTATTTCTAAACTTCGCAATTTGAGCAATTCATATTAGATTTGTTTGGGGCTTGGCAGTTATACAAATGCTCTAAAGATATAAAATTTATGAACAGCAATGTAAATGAATCTGCCAGCTGAATCGAGTTGACAGAAGTGATGCTTTCACACGCTAGAGCAGTTTGTGACGTGCATGAAGGTAAAGTTTTATCATGCCCAATTTATACAGACTTGACTCATTGTTTCTACATTGATATTGTGTGTTGCTTATGGCCCGTTCGCACTGGGAGCTGACCCGCAAAGCAGTTCAGAGTGTGAAGTTAAAGGGGTACTGGATCGAAACTTAAGAAATACATTTTACGTTCAGAAATAAGTTAACCATGATCAACTAACTTGTTAGTGAGCGCGTTGGTATGATGTAGGTTTAGAAAGAGTTATATACGTAAAGACAGGGGACGGGACAACACATCTTTCAACTTTCAACAAACAAATGATTTATTGCCGAACCTTCCCTCTCCTAGAGTGGACTCTAGGAGAGGGAAGGGGGGGGGGGTGTCACGTGACTTCGGGGGGTCACGTTACCTCCGAGGGGGGGGGGGGGGGTCATGTGACCCCCCAAGGTCACATGAAGATCACGTGACCCCCTCCCCGAGGTCACGTGACCCCCCTCCACGAGGTCACGTGACCCCCCTCCACGAGGTCACGTGACCCCCCCCCCCCCGGAGCATATTAAAGAATGAGGGGAGGAGGAGGAGGGGTCTACCCTCCACTCAGTACCCTTCCCTCCTCCTCCCCAAGAGCTGCGCTCCCATTCGGCGTTACAGGGAGTTGTAAACGGCTTTCTTTTTTTTTCACCAACGCTTGATCCTGCTGTTACGCCATGAAAATTTGGTGAGGCAACGAAAACTGGAACTAAAAGTTTAATGGGGCGAGCTTGTGATCAAAACACGGTAGAAAAAGGCTAGCATTGCAGGCGTTAATCGCGCCGTTTCAGCAGGATCGAGCGCTGGGGCAAGACTGACTCCGACTCGCCATGCAGAGCCTTTTAGGCACACGCGTGGGCTTCTGGTATAATCGCCGTAGAAGGTTCGGCACATAGAACATTCAGACCTCAAACAAGCGGCAAGGTTCTCGAATTTACCGAAATGTGACATTTACAGAAATAGCAAAAAGCTGCATTGCTCCCAGGAATGGAACCTGGGGTATCCGCGTATGAAAGCTAAGCACGGTAACCATTCGGCCACGCCCGCGCTCGCTCGGTCGAGCACGTGGCAATGTTACTTGTACACCGGTGCGAAGATAGGAGCTTGACTGGGTGGACTCTACACCCTCTTCATGGAGTTGTTTTCAGCTTTCTTTTTATTTTTGCTGCAGGCGAAAGCACAATTTATCCAGCACAAAAAAAAAAAAAAACGCATCTCCACGTGGTGAATGATGTTGATTGGGGCGAAGCTCTGGTGGTGCTTGTCTGCGTAGACGCTGAGCCGCAGCATGCCGAGCCTTTCGTTCGTTTTCATCCATGTCACGCTGCGGTCAAATGCTCAAATGCGTATATAACCACGTTCTATACCACACATTCTCTTTCTGACATGGATGAAAACGAACGAAAGGCCCGGCATGCTGCGGCTCAGCGTCTACGCAGACAAGCACCACCAGAGCTTCGCCCCAATCAACATCATTCACCACATGGAGATGCGTTTTTTTTTTTTTTTTTTCAGCGGTCCACTAGAAAACAGTCAATGTTTTCTAGTGGACCGCTGACTGTGCCTGACTGTACGTCAAGCTTGTCTGATTGGCCAACAAGTTACTCTGACCGACAGTCAAACTCCAGTCAGACTCCACTTGTCGGCTTTCTGATGGTTTCCTGGTGGCAGTCGGCCGCCGCGAAATGCCATCAAAATGTCTTGGTGGCGATTCTGATTGTACATCGATTGGCTCTGACTGTACGTCAAAAAGCTTTGACGTGCAGACAGACGTACGGTCAAAAGACGTAAAGTTCGTTCGGATCCCACTATTTCGTCAAATCTATGAATACGAAAAATAATCTATGCGCAAGAAAACGATTTCGGGACGTGAGCCCATAAAACCGCTGATGTTAGAGATATGACACGCAGCCGACCGACAACCTTGACCAGAAGCCCGCCGAAACGCCGAACAGTATGTATGATCTCTGTGCGCCGAACACGCCACTTCGCTTCGCCCATAGAGGCTTCGCCGAGCTTTCATGAACGATCGCTCTCGACTCGTTTTGTTTGCCCGCTTGCTCCAACCTGTCGATCCTGCCCGGGCTCTACAATGTCTTATGTTTTAGTAGAATTTCTACTCGACAAGACCCAGCCTGTTGTGAGTTCCGACGATGTAAGGGACTTTAGCGGTGTAGTTGAAGACGACAAGGTGTACCAGGTCTACTGGGCCGGAGACGCGCGAACAAAAGGATCGTTCTACGGCGTGAAAGTACTCTATATGGCAGGTGAGTGGAACTGAAGTACGGCGAGTGATGTACGAGTGCTTTGCATAACATGCTGATGGCTTAACTGCATTTGCAGCCGAAGAATCTCGTTTAAAACGAATGGTCAAATCGAGTTTCCTAATCGGCGGCATAGCATAGTCAGTTTCCACACGTGCTTTCGGGGCTCTCCCTGTTTCCCCTCCCTGCATTCGGAGCCATGGCCAACGGAGCGGCTGTCCCCGGTGAGAGCGCGGATCATGCCCTGATCGACGCAGGAGTTGTGGGCTACCGGATGTTGCTGCCGGCACTGCCGAAGGGCAAGCGACTTGAAACTACTGTCTTCCTCCACGGAGATCCCAGAGGACGACCATACCGGACACAGGACTTTGCGGAGGCGCTGGAGGCAACCGTCGGTATGGGGCACGTGGTTGGACTGGGCGTTTTCCAGTTTAACCACGTGTTCGTGTGCATGCTGGATACAACTGACATGAAGGACACATTGGCGGCAATGAAGGAGCTGAAAGTCAAAGGCAAACGCTGCGTGGTCGTGGACCCCAACGTCGTGGAGGCCGAAATCAGGGTCTACTGGCTCCCGGCTTATGTCACAGACGAGGAAGTGCGGGCCGCCCTCAAGGAGTTTAGGAATGTGACCCAAGTGACAAGAGAGAAACGGAAGTCGTCGGACGGCGGTTACGAAATCGAGACCACAACGCGAGGCGTCAGGATCATCCTCAAAGAAGGGCTCCGCAAGGAGGAGCTCCCGCATCAGGGCGCCATCGCTGGATATCCCGTGCTCGTCTCCGTACCCGGACGACCACCGATGTGCCTCCGCTGCAACCAGTTGGGGCACATGCGGAGGCAATGCAGGGCTCCCTGGTGCCGGCGGTGTCGAGGCTACAGCCACATCGAGGCGGAGTGCGTCCCCACGTACGCCGCCAAAACCAGGCACCAACCGGAGAGTGTTCAACGGAACGGGCTGCTTGACGACGGCGACACGCTGGAAAACAAAGCCAGCAGGGTGACGGCGGCTCAACCAACACCGCAAGCCCTGACCACGTCCAACAACATGGACACAGCGGATACAAAGGCACCTAACAACGGAGCTACAGAGGACACCGAGATCGGCCGCCTCCCCGAGGTCGAGGAACAGACCACCGTACCGCCGGGGGAGGCCAACGCAGCACCATCCGAACCCGCACTCACGCCAACGGCAGAACCGGCGCTTCCGACCCCACTGCCAGCGCCGACGGCCGCTCCGGTGAAGGGTCCCCTGCCGGAGCCCGATGCAGGTGTTCCTCTCAAGGACACCAAAGCCACGCGTCAGAGCGTACGGAATAGGAAGAACAGGGAACTTGCTCCCACTTTGCCAGTGATGCGTCCTGTGGAAGCGGGTCGTTCGTCGCCAAGCGCGTTGTAAGGTCTTCCCTTCTCCTCGCAACGGGTAAGGGTTCTTCTCTTGGAACTTTACATTTCTTGTTTTTGGTTTTTTGTTTGATATTGGTGAATTTTCGCCCTCTTTCTGGTTTTTATTCTCTTTTTATTTGTGGGTTACCGCGGTTTTTTTTTTTTCTTTCTTTTCTTGTGCTCTGTTCGTTCTTTCTAATATGTCGCGCATCAAAATAGCTACTTTTAACTGCATAAGCATCACAGCGAGGAAGAGGAAAGCGTTTTTAATGGACCTTTTGCGTGAGGAGCGAGCTGACATTATCTTTCTCCAAGAGACAAAAATATGCTCTCCAGAAAAGGCGAAGACGTTCGTGGGGTTTTTTGGCCACATTTTCTCGTGCGCCCACACGAGCGAATCACGCCGGCGGCATCGCCGTCCTTATTAAGGACACCGGCATCCGGATGATCGACCACCAGTTGTGTGCCGACGGACGCTTCGTGCTCGTTGACTGCATCGTCGGGAATCGGCTAACCCGGCTTGTCTCCGTCTATGCACCGAACAACCCGGCCGAGCGCAAAGATTTCTTCCTAATGGTACGTTTACACTTGCGGATCCGCCAGCGAATCCGCCCAGCTTTCGCCGCTGGGGCGAAACGCTGGGCGGAAAACGCGGCGACGAGCCGTTTAGGTCCGGGATCTATTTCTGCCGCCGAACGAGGCGTTTCGCTGACCGGAAGTGGCATTCTTGCGCGGCGCGACGCTGCCTACGTCACGAGTACGCGTTCTTCCGGGAGCAGCAACGCCCGGGAGAGAGAGAGCCGAGGCGGGAACTCTCGCGCCTTCTCGTCATATTTGACGAGACGTTACGGGAACCGCTGCCACAGCCGGCGCTGCCGCAACTGCTCGAAGGAAACAGATGTAGTAAACGCAACCCGCTCGTCGCCGCCGCCGCCGGGAGCGGATCCGCTCCCGCGGCAGCGGATTTTTTCTCAGGTGTACGTACCATAAGGCTGCGTCCTCTCCTGGACTAGGGTGCCTACATGTTTCCGCTCCGCTTTAGGGTGGCGCCAACTTCTTGTTACCCTTTCCCAGATCCTCTCCCACCGCCATTTTGACCCACTTGTTATTTGGCTAAACGTACACAACGTTGAGTTTTCGTAGTTTCGACACACCGGCAACACAGTGAGGCCACTTCCGTTTCCGTTCATAAGAGGAGTCGGACGAGTCGGAGGCTCAGCGGGACGGCGGTCGTCGTGGCTGTCGCTCTCTTTATTCGGGTGGGTGTTTCATACTTTGAAGTTGCGAGCAGTAAGTATGCGTTGCGTTTATCGAAACGTGAGTCCCCTCGACAAAATGGAACGCAACAGACCGGCATCGCATGCCGGAACCTCGTCGTCGGAACGAGAGTGGTGGGCGCTCCCTAGCCCTAACGAGGATTAGCGGAGTAGCGCGAGCGCACGACTGGCGAGTGTGACAAAATGGTCGACGAAACAGCCGAGGCTGCCATGGTAACGAGGTAGGCAACACTGGTTTGTCGGCAACAGGTATCACAAACGTTGTCGCCACCCTAAACAGCGGAGCGGCGGGAACATGTAGGCACCCTATCCTGGACACTCCGGCGGCGCTCGGGGTTGGCGGGGACTTTAACTGCGTCCTCGACGGCCGTGACAGGGTGCGAGGATCGGCGGTCCCTAGAGCTGACATGGGAGCGGGTGCGCTGCGCGACGCTGTGCGCGACTTCGACCTCGTGGACGTGACGGAGATGCTCGACACCTTTTCTCCGCAGTTCACGAGGTGGACGGGAACGTCGCTCGCAAGGCTAGACCGTGTCTACGTCTCCGGAGAGCTGTACGGGGGGGTTGCGACGTACGACGCCAAAAGTGTGGCCTTTTCCAATCATGGCTTCGTTTCCACTGTGATGAAATTCGGCGGACTGGGGGGGTGACCAAGCACGGCGCGACGCACCGTGGAAAATGAAAGTCGGCCTACTGGACAGCGAGGAGTTCATCGAGGAGACGCGGCGTGTTCTCCAGAACCTGGAGGAGGGCGGCTCGGACGCGGTCTCGTGGGAGGAGTTCAAGATCAAACTCCGGGATGCCGCGTGCGCGCTCGGCCGCCGCAGGGGCGCAGAGGAACGTCAAGCTCGGATTCACCTCACGAACACTCTCAAGGCACTGCTGGAGGAGGAGGAGAGCAGTCCAGGATCCTTCATTGACGACATCAAGCTCTGCAAAGAGCACCTGCTGGCCATGCTTGAGGAACGCTACAAGGGAGCCCAGGTGAGGAGCAGAGTCGAGACACTCGAGGGAGAGACGCAGCCCTCAAAGATCTTCCGTACACACGAGCGGCAAAGGGCGACAGAGAACACTATCAAGGAGCTGCGGCAAGGAGCTCGTGTTTTCACCTCAAGGGAAGACATCGCGGGCGTCTTCGAGACGTCATTCGGGGAGCTCTTCCGGGAGGAGAGGCTTGACGATGTCCCCTTCGAGCCCTTTCTCCGGGGATCTCCTGCGGTTCCTGAAGGAGCAATTGACATTTTGAACTGCCCAATCCGGGAGGACGAGATCCTACATGCAATCAAGCACCTGTCCCGTAACAAGGCTCCCGGCCCGGACGGCATCGGGTCAGAGTTTTACAAAATCTTTTCTGACGCTCTGTGCCCCATCTTGGCTCGAGTCTTCAATGACATCCGCAGACGAAAGCTACTTCCTCCGACCATGCGGCAAAGCTTCACGGTACTGATCCCGAAGAAATCTAAAAAGGGCAATATTTCCGAGGTCGGGGACTTTCGGCCCATCAGTCTTCTTTGCTCTGATTATAAAATCCTGGCCAAGATCCTCGCAAGCCGACTTGACACAGGGCTCAAGTCCATCATAGGGCCCCATCAGACCTACGGCCTTCGCGGGAGGAAAATATTCAGGAACCTCCACATCATGCGGGCGATCGGCGAGGCGACGGCGGATGGTCACCAGCCCCTGGCGGTCCTGCAGCTGGACCTGCGGCAGGCCTTCGATCGGGTGTCCCACAGGTTCCTCCTGGCGGCGCTGGATCGATTCGGCGTGGGGGAGGACCTGCGGGAGTGGATCGCGCTCTGCTACCGAGACATCTCCACGTGCCTTCTCATCGGCGATCAGAAGGGAGGTCCCATCTCCATCGGGAGGTCAGTTCGGCAGGGCTGCCCCCTCTCGCCCATCCTCTTCGCGCTGCAGTTGGAGCCACTCTGCCGGGCAGTCAATGCGGACCCATCCATCTCAGGTCTACGGCTTGGGGACGAAGACGTCCGCGTGCTGGCCTTCGCAGACGACGTCTCGTTTATCTGCTCGTCCAAGGTGCAGGTGCAGACCATCCTGCGACACGTGGACCGGTTCTGCGCTGCCTCAGGGGCCATGATCAACCGACAGAAGTCGGCGGGGGCGTGGCTCGGTGCATGGGCGACTACGCCAAGAACTTTCGGAGTTATAGGATGGAGCACTTCGCTCGACGGCTACCTGGGTGTGCCGTTGGACTTTTCAGCGATCAATGGCCGCAGTGTGGAGACCGACCGCCAACTCCGTTGCCGCCAAGCTGTCGCCCTGGCGGTGCAGAAACTTGTCTTTCTTCAGCCGGGCTCACGTGTACAACACAGTCAGCTACCCCGCCGTGCTGTACAAGGCTCAGGCCGTCTGCTGCCCGGGCAGCCAGGCCGGAAAGGTACACCGGAGCTGGGCCATGTTCGTGTGGAAGACCGCCATGGAAAGCACACGAAGGAACAACCTCTTTCTGCACCAAGAGAGCGGCGGTCTGGGCCTCGTTAACATCGTGCTCAAGCTGCACGTGCAGCGTTTTCTGCTCTTCCGGGATGCAAGGGACCCGACCTTTATCGCCGTGCTGCACCACCTTGGATTCCCACATCTCGGGAATTGGATTGTGAGCACGAGTGGCCGCACGACCAAGGGAGCCGCCCTGCGGTTCTACAGGGAAATCGCCAGCTCCATCGAATTTCTGCAGGCCCAATTTTCCTGGGAGAACCTGGCGACCGTCGGAAAGAGGCGGCTGTACTGGGATGCCGTTTCCGCATCCTTCCCGCCACCGCTCTACAGACAACCACCGACGCCCGACGACGCGGCGCGACTTTACAAACTCGTGCGAATCCTTCCCGTCCCTGTGGCGACAAGGGACTTCTTCGTCCGGATACACATGGAGGTCCTTCCAGTTAAAACCTGGCTCCATCACAAGGGGTTCTTCGTGCCGTGGTCCCTAAACTGCGATCTTTTCGGAGCGCCCGAGACCATCCAGCACGTTCTAGTAGAGTGTAGTAACGCCTTCCTCTTCTGGGACGAGATGAGGACGACGTTTGAGCTCAGGGACTCCTTCGAAGTGGAGTGGAGCGCTTTCAAGTATCTGCAACTCGAGGAGAGGGATAAGACGGAGGTGGCGCACCTGATGATGCTGCTGGGCCTGCACGCCATCTGGCAGTCGCGTACCGCAATGGTGCAACGCCATCTCGACGCGCGTCCAACCTGGAGCTACTTCGTGTCCACGTTGGGGTGGGTGCTCTCGGTGACGTCGCGGCAGGCGAACGCGGGTGATTGGGAATGCATCGAGCGACAACTCGAGAAAGGGCGTCGCCGCTGCGTGCAACGACGTACGTCAGGCGTGGGAAACTGGCGAGTTCCTGTGAACTGTAGGCGCGTTGGCGTTGGCTGAGCTGCGCGGTGCGCGAAAGTGGACCGTGGCTCTTCCCCCTTGGAATTGCGCGTCTATATTGCTCGATCTATTGATTTTTTTTTCGTACACATTGCACAACCGCTGACGCGGTCTCGTACTGTATCGTTCGCGTTTCCTCTCAATCGTTTCCGCCCAGTCTGGTCTGAGCACTTCAGGTTTGTGTGACAGCTATTTACCGCACGGCGATAGTGTATTATTTCTTTTTTTTTTTCTGATTTCAGAGTATCTGTTATCTCATTCGTCTACAGTCTGTATAACGTTTCTATACGAGCTATCCAGCTGTCGTTTTCTGATTTATTTTTCAATTTGACCTTGTATAATGTT